TATATATATATATATATATATATATTTGCCTCCCTTTTTTAAATTTAGATTTGGCACAGTTTATTTTGTTCTTTGCTTTTAGCCATTTTTGGGTTGTGACCCACCTGTTTATCAAACTACTGCTTTAGACAACCTTTTAAAGACAAAATCTTATATATCTATCCACTCACAATTCAAAACAATTCCCATAATTCAGTGAAAACCCAAATAAAAAGCCACATAGTGAACTAAACTATTACCAGGAATATATTTCTTGCAGCTCCGGTGGCTACTATGTGAAATTTAGCTGTATTTTTTTGTGTGCTTAGTTTAAAGAAGTGTAAAACTAGTTACCATGACAAATTTTTCCATTATTGTTTTTGAACAGAAAGCAAAGTTTCTACAGCATTAGCGAAGTAAGACGTAAATATTAGTCTGATTTACCTCCCTGGAGACCCCAAAAACTTGCAGACATATTCAAAAGTGAAGGTGAAAATGTATTAGCATTAAACATTAAATGAGCATCAGGGTGGCTAGAGGAAGACGGAAAAGTTGGAGAAGTGTATTAAAATGTGCTTGAGTAAAATGTGAGTGAATAATTTAAGCCATTTGTGAATTAATAATGCTTTAAATGTTTTATTGCATGCTTGTGTTATTTATTTGACAATATGTATTAAAATATCTTGCAGAAGAGAGAATTCCTAATCGTATGTGATGCTATCTGTGGATTTGATTGTACAGAAGCACTAGTCAAGACAAATGCAAGGCCAATAAATGAATTCATTCTTTATGATATCAGTCAGGTGCTTGTTTGTTTTTGGACCTGCCTGTGGAAGCGTCCTCTTGGTTCAGTGCATCATTGGTACAGAGAGTCAATAAAAGCAACACATGAAGGAACATGATGTACTGGAGTGGACAAACTAGGTCTTTGGGCATAGATTAATTAGTTTCTTAGCACGCAACAGCTGAAGCCACGGGGTAGAGGCCACAAAACTCTCTGTCCCATTGGTGGCCTAGACCAAGAGACCCCTTCTTCTGGGCAACTGGGTCAGATAGGAAACCCCTCAACCGGTCTGGGCACTTGAGTAAGCTTGTTCTCTTTTAATTCTCCCCCAGACACACCATCCTGAGAAGCCACTTTTTCCTACCACAGGAAGCCCAAGAGAACACTATAGCTAGCAGTCTGACAGGCAAACTGAACCCTGGCCTTTTATATCCTGCCAGGTTCGAGAAGTTGGACATCACCCCAAAAAGCGCCCAGAAGATTAAGCCCGTGCTGGAGCGCTGGATGGCCGAGGCGGAAGCCCGCCATCGCTCCGGTATGCAGAACCTGACCGAGTTTATCGGCAGCGAGCCCTCCAAAAAGCGCAAACGCCGGACCTCTTTCACGCCGCAGGCCCTGGAAATCCTCAACAGCCACTTCGAGAAGAATACTCACCCCTCCGGTCAGGGGATGACGGAAATCGCAGAGAAACTGAACTATGATCGCGAGGTGGTGCGCGTCTGGTTCTGCAATAAGAGGCAAGCTTTGAAAAACACTATAAAGAGGCTGAAACAGCCCGAGCTCGGGCCGGTCGCACCAATGGACCCTCTGGTTGATAATATGGAGGAACACCCTTAGCTTGACACGAACAGCATGAGGCGAACGCGCACCTATGGCGAAACTTCTGATGTTGTGGACTTAAAGACCTGGACGATTACTATCCAATGCACCATCGAATGGATGAACTGTCGACAAAGACAAAAAGAAATATTGTCAGTGTTATCATCACAAAAGCAAAAACCAAACAAGTTCAGAAAAAAAGAGAGTTGTATGAGAATTATAGTACTGATTCATAAGTTTGTGAGTAATTAAGAACAAGGATCATATTAAAATCAAGGATGGTGAAGAAACTACTTACCAAAGTTTGTTGCATCTGATACCTGAGGTTTTTTTTAATTGTAAATGTGTTTTACATTTTTACTGGGGAAAAAAAATGGTAAAACAAAAAAGAAAGAAAAGATTTGTGTGATGGGGTAGATGGGTGTGACATTTGATATTTGTCTTATTTTATCACTTGGGTTTTTATGTAAATATTTCTGGTAAATTGTCACCAAACTTAAATCATAAGTTCAAAAAAAAAAAAAAATCTTTGAGAAGTTAATTTCAAAATTGTCACGTTTCTGCTGTCTGTAAGTCCATCGTCAACTGTGTCATCTCACTCTGTTCATAAACATTAAGGCATGAAAGAGTGCATTTGGGAGGAATATTTTGCAAAGAGATTCTCAGTGAACATGCCACAGATATCCACATATACGTTGCAGCTGTGATTAAAGCTATTTTATGGTGTTGCCAAAGCCTCCTAGCCAAAGAACAAGGACATTGTGTCATACCTTGGCCTGAACCATTTTATTCTTTTCATGTGATCGGATGTTTTTTATTTTTAAAAGCAAAGGGTTACTATTTTATTTTACTTGTCACACTTAACTATACATACATACATACATAAACAGATTTCAAGTAAATTAGATGAATTTTAAAGATTTCACTTGAGTTATGCAATTTATCTTTTGTCTGTGTCTTTTTCATTTTGGTGCTTAAGGGTTTTTTTTTTTTTTTTTTTGCTTGTGTCAGTCAAAATCTCTCAGATGAAAATGACTGGAACATGCTCATTTTGGACATATTTGATTGAAGCAAAGCATTTGACTGAATATACACCTCAGTATATATAAAAAGAATCCATTGTCCAAATACTGCACCATCGTACAAACCTTCAGCCCATCTTACAGGTAGATTTACAGTAATCAGTACAGTAGTTGTTTTCTAGTCTCTTTTTATTTTTATTTTTTGTATAATTCTTATACTGTATAACAAGCATTCCAAATGAAATTAAAAACAGTGGTCGACTGATATCCAGAAAGCAAGACAACAGATTTAATGCTGATGTTAAAATAGCCTACAGTTCAATGATAATGTTAATATTAAAAGTATTTTGCTGTGGACATGAATATTCACTTCATACTAAAAGACAACTAAGACAGTAAAAAGTCTCAGTTTACAAATAAATTAAGTCTTTTTCTGCCACATTAATGTTTTGGAATTAGCTGTATGGCATTGAAATACTTATCAACAGGCAAAAATATCTAAAAAGTACTCATGATAGCAGTGACGATCCTGTTGATATTCCTTCCTATGAAACAATCCTATGATTTTACTGATTTGCATCATGAATTTGATATTTAATTCAGTCTGTATCTATCTTATCAGCAATGAACAGAAATGGCAAGAACAAAGAAAATCTTTTGGGGCATTTATGCAAATGTAGTTCATTACAGTGGACATTTGCTATGATTATAGTTACAGAAAAATTGTCTGGCTTCTGACAGCTACGTAACTAATGTCTTGACTCACATTCAAAGACCTGTCTAATTACTTTAACTCATATTGTATAAGATGACATTCCCCCAGCGCATTCATTTTCATCAATTCAGAAGCATGGTATTTGTGTGTGGTTGCAGAGACAGGACGTCTTAAGGTATACAGGCTTATGAAATAAAGCTGTAACCAAAAATTAAAACCAAGAGACGAGAATCTAAGTTCTGCCTTTGCTCGTCTTTTCAATGCTGGACCAAAGCTCAATAGTTATATGCACATTGTACAGAAAAATGGCTAAATGTCGCTGACAATCTTGAAATATGTAACTGAATTGAAGAAAATTGATTAAATGGAGTATATCATTAAAATTACCTCAGCACTGTCCTGCTAAGTAGTGAGCAATGTCATAACATGGTACCTTTGTGCAAAGGTTCACGACAAAACATAAAGGACTTGTGTATATGTTTGTAAGTAGTTTTTATGACCATCATAGATTGATTCTCACATGCTTTTCTTTATGATGTGCTTTCCAGGGTCACGTGTATAGAACAGACATTGTTACATGACTTTCTTCTTTTATTGTTTAGTTTCTGCATTGTTTATTTGGTTATCTCCTTTCGCTATGTAAGATACATTTTTGAGTTTAATTGCCTGGAATTGCCTCATATAAATGGGGAAGAAAGAAAACTTTGCGGTTCAACTCAATTGTTTTTGAAAGATGATGGAAAACCTTTCGAGATTTATTGAAGAACACACACTGGTAAACATACACACATGAACACACACACACACACACACACACACACACAGTCGAGCAATAAATGTTATTACTCTCAAGACCTTGAAACCAAAGCTGTTTAACCTGCTAAGGATGCTTTAAATTTTATAGACTGAAAACTGTATGTATTATATAGAGCAATATCTGTTCGGTCAGTTAAGCTGCACTTTGTGTATTTCTTAACAGCTTCAAGTCTGTCACATTAATTTGTACCATAATAATTAATAATAAACAATTGTTTGACATGAAACACAATGGCTGCATTTCTTTTTCTAAAGAATATTTTACAAAGAACAGGGGAAGAAACAAGCATCACTTAATTCACATTTAAATAACTTACATTTTAATATAAGTATACCAGACTTAAAGATCTAAAGAAAGATAAAAATTATAGGCCTACCAAGCAAGTGAATACTACTAATGATATTTAATATTAAGCTGTGTTCTACTATAAACTACTATAAATACTAGACAACAACATGTGACATTCTATTTGGATCTGTTCAAAATGATGCATTTCTTTGGCAATAGTAATGAATCTGTAATTTGAGTAATCAATAGACAAAACTACAATACGTCAAGTTACAGTAGTTATGCAAATGCCTTATTAATAAGTTTATCATTTATTTATCAGGACATTAGCTACATTGAACTGTATTGTGTGTATTCAAATAAGATTTCTTATCAATATTGAAAAATATATATATTAATTTTGCATCAGTTTTTTGTGTTGTTCATGTGTGATTTTAAATGTCAAAGAATTGATATATTTTTTTAATTAATCAAAAAGGGTAAGTACAGTAATAACATTGTAATAACGTGATAACTAACTTTAAAATTTTTCACATTCACTTATTAATTTGCTGATTACATACGATATGGTTTTAGTTGAAAAAATATTAATTTAAGACTGTTTTATAAAACCCAGATTCTTCGTGTCCAAATTATTCTGGAATGCAAAAATTGTATAGGCATTTTGAGTGCATTATGAGGGTTTAGAGGAATAATTGATTCGGGTCAGCTGAATTATTTAAATTCAGTGGTCGCTTTCATAAGTTGGAGAACTGGACACTTGAGCTTAATAATCTTTCACTTCTTCCATTAATAAAGATCAGCATTCATCCTGCCTAATCTTTATCAGATAGCATCGGATTGGATCATTTTCAGAAATCTTCACCCCTACGCTACTAAGTCATGCACATCTCTAGTGCAGGTTTTTCAGCTTCAACGATAAAACAACAAAGGCTAGAAACGTTATATAACAACTATAAAACAACAAAAGCTGAAAAACTATATGATGATGATGGTGAATAATAGCTGTGTAGTGATGGTAAAACTTTAAATTGCTTGCACATAGTTCAAATGATGCCTCATAAACTGTTTTCACGTAACAGAGTGGTGGATTCACAAGAGTGAACATTCATTCTGCAAAACAATCCCATTTAGACTTTAAAAGACATGTTGTCCAGCTATTTTAACCATGTTAAGCCCACTTTATTTCACACTGATTCGTCTGTTCCTCTGAAAAATAGTCATCTTTCATTCTGTCCTCTGTAATGTGCCGTCCTTCCATGTAATCGCTGATATAAAGTGAAGAGTCACACAGAAACGCTTTTCTCCTTATAGCCGAACAAGCTTTCAATGCTGAATTCACACCTTAAAGCAAACCGATGGCCCACGGGCTTCCAGGGTCAGCAGCCATTCATTTAGATTTCCATAGGATCAATAGAGAAGAATCTATGCCAGGGTTATTTCGCATCAATGTTTCATTTCTTTCCTGCAACAGATAACAATAATGAGCCGTCTCTAAGCGAGAAAGCACATTCTCTGCTGAAAGGCTTTTGAAAGTAAACTCTGAAGTTTGTGACGGCTTCTCTTGTCCATGAAGCCTTTGAAAGCATGACTGGCTGGTAAATTGAAGAGCGGTAAATAAATAAATATTAATCATAAAGAAGCACACACAACATAAATTATTAACATTAGGCTGAGAACTGATGTTGAAGATGTTTGTTCTGTCCTTTCGTCCCATCCTGCTCTTTGTTTCAGAAGTAGCAGATGTATTTTTCAGTTGTAGGCTAAAAGTTGTGCTATTTTGATATTCTTTTGTTTTGTCTTCCATTTCATCATATTTTCCATTAGCTCTGTAATGAACGTGCAGAGATGTGCTATTTTTGCAACCAGTGTCTTCGGCGTTCAGGCTGACGCTTTTCAAAAACGTTGCCAAGTGGGAAGACACGGAGAGAGTACAACAGCTCCATTTTTTAAGCAATTACAGGGGATTTTTTTTTCTTTCTGCCAAATAAGCCAGTTTTCTAGTTGCTTTTGGGTGCATGGGACTTGAGCAATGAGAGGAAGAATAGGAGATGTACAGTGGAGTCTGAAAGTATAAAACCACTAGGCTATATTTTGCATTTATAATGACATTTTTAAATCGCAAACACTGTATCAGCATAACAAATTGAAAAATTAGCATGAATTTTATAATGTTATAGGCTACTTTCACACTGTCAGCTTTTGGGATTGACAACCGCATTTACTTACAGTTCTGAGTCTTAAAATGTCACATTCACACAGCAA